AGCCAAATAAAATGATTTAAAAAAAAAAAAAAGAAAAATTGCAAAATAGCTAAAACCTATCTGTGGGGTTATCTGTTCAGACCAAGCCATTGGCAGATCTGCTCTAGCCATAGGCAAGAGTCAAGATTAGCCTTACTATCAGGTAGAGACCATTGTAATATTGATTATCCTGATCAAACTCAAAACTTGGCTACTTTGTCCACCTTACAGACACGACTTCAATTTGTTCTGGGTGCAAGTACCTCTTACTGGTTTCTTCCCTGGCTTTTTGACTATTGCTGGGTGGGGGGGGTCTTTTCCTTCTTACACATTAATAGTTTTGTCTGTATATGATTTGTTTTTACCCTTACCATCTTAGTGTGATTGTTTTCTGTGGGGTCTCCCAGCTATGAAGCACAGGAGTAGTGGAGGAATAATGATACTAACAGATACAGGGGATATAGGGAATACGGGGTGGGGAGAGAGGAGGAAGGGAAAGGGGACTTCAGGAGTAACCAATGAAGATGGTAGGCGGGAGTGAGTACTAGAACAGATTGTAATTGTATGAATCATCTTAAGGTAATTTGACCATGGGGGTGGGGAAATGTTCTAAAATTGATGTGGGGGTAATTGTACAATTCTCCATGATATGATTGAATGTTTGAATGACTACATTATATGATATGTAAATCACTTGCAAATAAAACTGCTGGGGAAAAGATAAAGTATCACTGTAAACGTACACACAAAAGAATTGTGAAATAGTGACATTTCTCCCTCTAGAATTTTTTTTGCATTCATTAGAATTTTATTAGAATTCTGTAATAAAAAAAAAATTCCCTTATCAAATCCTGGTTGTTCTGACATACAGTTACCCTGACAAACAGGTAGCAAAGGAAATGACTTTATTTCCTTTCATTTACCAATGTAAGTCAGAAATTGATGTCAAGGCAACTTCCATATGTATGCTGTTAAGATGAAAAAAACATACATGACAGAACAAAATCTCTTTAATACAAACTCAAGATATTTATTTTTTCAGAATGAATTTTGTAACATGGCTTGAGAGGTGATAGAAAGCTTTATAGGCATTAACACAATTTTTCCTTTAAATAAAACTTCTGGTGGGTTCGTTAAAATTAAAGTAAAAGGGATTCATATGGTCAAATACTTTTCTTCTAGAATTTCTCTTGCTCCTTAACACAAAATTCAAAACAGAAGATTTTCTTAAACTTACTAAATTACATTATGAATTCTCTGATGGTAAGTAAGGTGCGAATGTTGTCTAAACGCTTTCTTACATTCCTTACATTCATAAGGTTTCTCACCAGAATGAATTCTCTGATGTTGAATAAAAGATGAATAAAGTCTAAAGGCCTTCCCACATTCCTTACAATCATACGGTTTTTCACCAGTGTGGATACTCTGGTGCTGAGTAAGTTGTGAGAGCAACCTAAAGGTCTTCTCACATTCTTTACATTTATAAGGTTTCTCACCAAAATGAATACTCTGATGTTGAGTAAGCTGTGAAAAGAGTCTAAAGGCCTTCCCACAATCCTTACATTCATAAGGTTTCTCTCCAATATGAATACCCTGGTGTGAGATAAGTTCGGAATAACGACGAAAGAATTTCTGGCATTCCTGACATTCATAAGGTTTTTCACCAGTGTGAATTCTCTGATGGACAGTTAGATGATATCCACGGTTAAAAGTCTTCCCACATTCCTGACACTCATAAGGTTTTTCGCCAGTATGAAGTTTGTGATGTATTCTAAGGCCTGTGCTACACAGGAAAGTCTGCCCACATTCTTTACATTCATAGCACTTCTCAGTAACATTGAGTCTTTGATGTCGAGTTAGATGTGCATACTGTCTAAAAGCTTTCCCACATTCCTTACAATCATAAGGTTTCTCACCCGTATGAACCCTTTGATGGAGACTGAGTTGTCCTCGCACTTGAAAGGTTTTCCCACATTCTTTACATTCATATGGATTCTCACCAGTATGAATTTTCTGATGTGCCCGAAGGTCTGGCCCACACATAAAGATCTTTTCACATTTTTTACACTCATAGATTTTGTCAGAAGCATGAATTCTCTGATGTCGACTAAGGTGTGCATACTGTCGAAAGGTTTTCCCACATTCTTTACATTCATATGGCTTCTCTCCAGTGTGTTTTTGCTCATGGAAAGTAAGTTGTTTGCGTACTCTAAAAGCCTTCCCACATTCCTCACATTCATATGGTTTCTCTCTATTATTACTTCTTTGATATTGAGTAAAAGTTGCACGTTTTTTGAATTTGGGCATTTTTTCACAGGTGGTTTTCATTTGCCCAAAATATATCTCTTGAGCACATTTATGCCCCTCAAAATTCATTTTAAATTCACTCTCTTTGCCAACAAAGGCATCCTCAAGACCAGGCTTTTTAATTCTTTCCTTTATCTTCCACTGGGATAAATTCATTTCAAAAATGTCTTTTTCTTGAAGTAATTTGTTAGTGTCATATTTGGATTCCAAATCTGAAAGAAACAAGAAGGTAAATGCATGATAGTCTCTTATTCTAGATAAATAAACAAACAAATAAATAAAACTTTGATAATGAACACAACCCCAGCTGAGCCGAATGAACCAGAGAACTCTAAAATAAACCTATAATTTGAAAAGGCTGAAGGGTACAAAGAAAATGATAAGAGTTCATGTAAAAGGTAAGAAATTAAGAAAGTAGACGAGAAGAGGAATTATTAAAGATAGATGTGGACTGAAATCAACTTGGGAGCACGACACACTTGGTTGCACATAACCAGAACAACCTAAATAACCTGACTACTCAACATATACAGAATATTTTAGGGTACAAGAGACCCCAAATCTGAATATAATTTAAGGAGAATATACATGAGCTGTATGCTTACCAAGGAGTCAGCCACGCTTGTTTCCTAAATGGTTTATGACAGTTCTGATCACTGTAAGCAATGAAAATCATTCTTTCAAGACAATCACTTGTATGAAATTAAGTTGAATGCTTTGGGACTATTGGCCATAAGTGCACATTATATTGTTGTCAAAGTAGGCACAGGTGAAAAACTAGAACAAGACAGTTGGAAATATAAAAAGAAAAACGGATTCTGTACTAAGACAGCTTCACAACTTTCTTTAGCTCCTGGTCCCACTTTAAAGAAACTGAAATTGGGAATAAAGCCTATGCATGATATGTGCGATTTAACCAAGAAAAAATTAGCTGGACCTACACAGAAAGAAAAGGCCTTAAGGTTGAATATTTCAAGTATATATGTAAATATTTTATTATTTAAAGTTAATGAACCAAGTATTAGTTTGAATTCTATTGAGTCAAGGAAGTCCGCCACCCTCCCCATTAAACACTACCAATGTAAAAAAAAACTTGTTAAGTCCATCTTAGATCATAAAAACAGAAATGAGATTTTTTTTAGGGGGTGGGTAATGCTTTGTTCTTAAAAAAAATTGTTTTATTTGGGCTCTTACAGCTCTTAGAGCATTCCATACATTAGTTGAATCAAGCATATCTGTACATATGTTGCCATCATTATTTCCAAAACATTTTTTTTTTCTGCTTGAGCCCTTTGAGAGATTTCGCTTTTCCTGATATCAGTTTGAAAGACAAAATAAGAAGAAAAATCACCTGGTTGTAAAATTGTTTCTTGAGCTATTACCATATATACTCATGTATAAGTCAAGTTTTTCAGCACACTTTTCATGCAGTTTTGTAGTAAAATTAGGTGCCTTGGCTGATATTCGGGTTGGCTTATACTCGAGTATATACGGGATATCTTGAATAATCTTTCTTTGTTGACATAAAAAATTCAGAATTCAGAATATTTAAGATCAAGGGAGTGTAAGTAACATTAACACCCATAGCAGTGCTATAAAAAGATATGAAAATACACAGAAAGGACTGTAGGGCTGACAAGAGTTCAAAACATGATGTCCCCATGCTGGAACATACAGCGACAGAGGACAATACTAAGTACGCACGGTAGTGAGTGATTCTGGTCTGAACTCCCCACAGTGGGGCACAGCAAGAAGGTAACACAACAGATCAGCAACGGGAGCAAAGTGAAGCCACATAGGCCGAGTAGCCCCCGAGTAGACTTTAGGCTAGGAGGGGCAGTTCCCAGAACCCCTCAGAGGACAGACCTGAAATTATGTATGTTTTTTTGGGAATTTTTTTTCTAGTTATTTTTTTTCTCTTTTTATTCAGTCTTTTGTTTTCTTTTTGTTTTGTCTCTGTTGCGGTTGGTTTGTCTACCTACATAAGGTAGGCATGAGAAGAAAGTACGAGGAGAAAGCAACTGGACAGACGGTTCAGGAAGGACTGGGGGGAAGAGGAGGCGGGAGAAGGAGGTGGTGAGCATAAAACACCATAGACAGGGGAACAACTAGGGAATTTAAAATCAACAACGAGGATGTAGAAATCCTAGGGGTGTTGTAGCAACAGCAGTCTAGGTAAGAGGAATTACTAAGAGGCAGAAGAAGGGCGAGCATGGTGATGGGGTAGGAGGAAGGTAAAAGGAAACAGAAAAGATCTAGGAAGCAAAGCTATGGATAGAGGTATAAACATAGGTATGTACATATGTACTAATTAGTAAAAATAGAGATATTGGCCTATGTACATATATTTATATGGCAATTATTGTAGTTACATAATCTGGTGTCAACTTGAGACTTAAGAGTGTCAATCAGGTCACAGCTTGATGACCTCATTTGGAGGAGCTACAGAGATAAATAGCTTGCTGGAGGTGGAACACTCACTCCTGCAAAACATTCCTGCTGACAAGACACATGAAGCTACGCCAGAGCCCTGGGGCTGAAGGAGCCACGTGGAGACCCCTGCTAGTGCTGAGACCCACTGCCACTGGATCCACAAGACTTCCCATTCACCAGCCTGTGATCTTCCTGCATATGGCATCACTGCATGTGCTTCGCGAGTCTGAAGTGGACTTTATAGGTTGGTATCAGACATATGGGCTAATGTCAGACTTACGGACTTGATCTGGACTGGGTTGGGATGTTTTCTCAATATTCAATTGCTCTTTTATATAAAGCTCTTTCTCATACAAATATGAATGTCTCTGGATTTAATCTCTAGTCTTCCTGGACTAACACAGCAATACATTGAGGTAGTAGACAGACTTTGGGTCTCTGCTCAAGTCTTCCCTCAATGCAAAAACACTTTGTTCTAACAACCTGGTATTCTGTGATGTTTATCCTCCTGACATGATCACGGAAGACAAAATAGGTACTTAAACTAATGTGGTGAAGAAAGCTGATGGTCCCTGGCTATCAAACAATATAATGTCTGGGGTCTTAAAGGCTTGAAGTTAAACAAGTGGCCATCTAGCCGAGATGCAATAAGCCAACATGGAAGAAGCACAACAGCCTGTGTGATCATGATGTGTCGATGGGATCAGGTAACAGGCACCAGAAGACCACAAACAAACAAAACTTATTCCTGAGAACGAGGGGGATCAGAGCAGAGACCCAAAACCAATCTGTAGACAATGGGACATCCCATCACAGAAGGGTCGAGCAGTATAGCACCCATGAAACATACAGTATTTCTCTGGTTACTTGAGGCTTCCTCACCCCCCACTATTATGATACAGCCCTGCTTTCCACTTCGGGTTAGACTAGAGCACGTACACTGGTACAGATAAGAGCTCAGGACACACGGAATCCAGGTCAGATAAACCCCTCAGGAACAGAAGTGGGAGTAGTGATAACAGGAGGGTAGGGGGAAGGTGGTGGGAGGAGTGAAGGAAGGGGGAACCAATCACAATGAGTGAAACATACCCCTCCCCCAAGGGGGACAAACAACAGAAATGTGGGGGAAAGGAGATAGTGGATGGTATAAGACATGAAAAGAATACTAATTTATAATTTATCAAGTGGTCACAAGGAAGGGAGGGTGGGGAAAAGAGGAGCTGATAACAAGGGCTCAAATAGAGAGTAAATGTTTAGAAAATAATGATGGCAACATATGTAAAAATAGGTTTGATACAATTGATTTATGGATTGTTGTAAGAGCTGTAGGAGCCCCCACCAATAAAATGAGCTTAAAAATGTATACATATATATGTGAAAGTGTTAGAAGTCTATTATTACAGAAGTGCATTTCTGAAACTAAATATTGATCAAATACTGAACAATGCATTCTTAAGTCCCAATGAAATACTGAGTAGTTGCCACATTCTGAGTCTTGGTACTTATTTCATTGAGGAATCAGAAGAATTTAAAAGGAAACTATTATCCATATTTTTTTAGTATATATATTGTACTTCTTCCCATCTACTGAAAACAATTATCCTCTCCCTCTATTAATTTTCCTCTTTGAAATAATTCCTTTCAGCTTACAAACATGCTCTAATCTCTCATATCTTAAAATATGTATGTGCTTCCTTCTTTTATTTTTATTTAATTAAAAGATCATTTTATTGGGGATTCTTCCAACTCTTATAACAATCCATACATAAATAGTATCGAGCATATTTGTACATATGTTGCCATCATTCTTTTCTAGACATTTACTTTCTATTGAGCCCTTAGTATCAGCAACTCTTTATTCCCTCTCCAACCCCGACCCTCGTGACCCCTTGATCTGCTTCCTTCTTAAGGCAAAATTTCACCACTAAGAAAATGTGGTAGTTATATAATCTGTTGTCAGTTTGAGAAGATTAAGAGTGAAGTGGTGGAGTTTTTAGCTTGTCAATCGGGTTAGAGCTTGATGACCTCATTGGGAGGGGTGAAGGAGATAAATAGCTTGTTGGAGGCAGGACACACACTCACTCTCTGACAGACATTGCAGCTGACAAGCCACATGGAAACAGGCTGATGGTAAGCAGAGGCTTGGGGATGGAGAAGGCACAGGGGGACCCTTGCCAGGGCTCAGGTGCTTACAACACCACTGGATCCACCAGACTTCCCATCCATTGGCCTTCCTGCATTTGGCGTCATTGCATGTGTTTCGTGAGTCTGAAGACGACTTTATAGATTGGTATTGGGCATATGGGCTAATATCACACTTATGGACTTGATCTGGACTGGGCTGGAATGTTTTCTCAATATTCAATTGCTCTTGTATATAAACCTCTTTTTAATACACATGAGTGCCTATTAATTTGTTTCTCTAGCCTACTCAGACTGACACAGAAACCTTCATGATGCCATGGGCTCGCTGGGCTGAAAACCAAGAAAGATGCTGCTGCCTGTTGTTCCTGTGAAGATTTACATTCTTAGAAATCATAAGGTACAGTTTCGACTCTGTCCTACAGAGGTCACCATGAGTCAGAGTCTTCTGGATGGTTACAGGTTAATTTTCACCATTATAGGCGTCCCAGTGGCACTGTGGTGAGTGAGGTAGTTGGCTGTAAATCCCAAGGCCAGTGATTCAGACGTAGCAGCCAGTCACTGGGGTTGGAATCTGTGGCAGCCTGCTTCCATACAGAGGAAAGCATTCTGAGCCAGTTGTACCCTGTCCTTATGGAGTTCCTATCATGACAGACTTTTGTAAAACCAATGACGTTTTCGCAGCCAATACCTTTTCAACAACACAAAAGGACAACATAAAGGACGTACACATCGACTTGGCCAGATGGAATCCACAGAAATCAAATTGACTACATCTGTGGGAAGAGACTATGGAGAAGCTCCACATGAACAGATAAAACCAGTCCAGGGGCTGACTGTGGAACAGACCATCAATTGCTCAGATGTAAGTGCTGGATAAAGCTGAAGAAATTTAAAACAAGCCAAGAGAGCCAAAACACGACCTTGAGTCCACCCCACCTGAATTTTGAGAACATCTGAAGAACAGATTTGATTCACTGAACACTTGACAGAAGACCTGATGAGCTATGGGAGGACATTAAAATCATCATTCATGAAGAAAACGCAAGGTCATTAAAAAGACAGGAAAGGAGGAGCTGATGCCAGGGGCTTACGTGGAGAGCAAATGTTTTGAGAATGATGAGGGTAACAAATGTAAAAATGTGCTTTATACAATTGATGTGTATATATGGTTTAAGACTTGTATGAGCCCCCAATAAAATGATTAAAAAAAAAGACAGGCAAGAAAGAATCAAAATGGCTGCCAGAAGAAACTCTGAAAGTTGCACTTAATTGTAGAGTTGCTAAAGCAAATGGAAGAAAGGATGAAGTCAAAGAGCTGAATAGAACATTTCAAAGGGCAGCTCGAGAAGACAAAGTCAATATTATAATGAAATGTGTAAAGACCTAGAATTAGAAAACCAAAAGGGAACAACACATTCAACATATCTTAAACTGAAAGAACTGAAGAAAAACTTGAACCCTCGCATTGCAACCTTGATTCTATAGGCAACACATGGAATGATGCAGGAAGCATTAAGAGAAGATGGAAAACATACAGTCACTGTACCAAAAAGAACTAGTCGAAATTCCAGTTTTAGGAAGTAGCAAGAACCAGCGATGCTGATGGAAGAAGTTCAAGCTGCACTGAAAGCCTTATCTAATAACAAGGTTCCAGGGATGGATTGAAAGCCAATGGAAGTGCTTCAACAAGCTGATGAAGCACTGGAAGCACGCATTTGACTATCCCAGGAAATTTGGCAGGCTTGACCAAGTGATTAGAAGAGATCCATATTCGTGCCCATTCCAAAGAAAGGTGACTCAACAACATCCATAACCTATAGAGCAGTATCACTGATAACGCATACACGTAAAATTTTGCTGAAGATCATCCAACAACGATTGACGCTAATGCCAGAGAAGCAAATGCCAGAGGTTCAAACTGGATTCAGAAGACGGCATGGAAAAAGGGATATTGCTGCTGATGTTAAATACCAGGAATATATTGACTTGTGTTTTATCGTCTATTCCAAGGCATTTGACTGTACGGACCATAATAAACTATGGATAGCCTTGAGATAAACGGGGGTTCGAGGAGACTTAATTGTGCTTGTGTGAAACTTGTACATGGATCAAGAGGCAATTGTGCCAACAGAACAAAGGAATACTGCATGGTTTAAAATTAGGAAAGGTGCATGTCCGGGGTGTATCTTTCATCGTACTTGTTTAATCTGTATGCGGAGCAAATCATCAAAGAAGCTGGGTTATATGAAGAATGTGAATCAGGATTGGAGGAAGGCACATTAATAACTTGCAATATGCAGATGAAACAATCTTGTTTAAGATCAAGGCTTACAGCCTTATTACAACTCAATGTTAAGAAGACCAAAGTCGTTTTCTACCTGTGGGGACTGTGGAGGGAACATCGTGAGAGCCCCCACCTCTGCCACACTGCCTTCATGTCTAAGTCAGAGTCTCCTAAAACGCCTGAACAGCTGCGGAAACTCTTCATTAGAGGGCTGAGCTTTGAAATAGCAGATGAGAGTCAACAGAGCCATTCTGAGCAACTGGGGAATCTCACTGGGCAGGGCTGTAGAGAGATCCAAACACCAAAGTGCTCCAGAGGTGTGGGGTTTGTTATTTAACTCTCCTGTGGAGGAGGTGGATGCAGCCATGAATGCAAGGCCACACAAGGGAGATGGAAGAGTTGCGAAGAGGGCTGTCTCACAAGAAGATTCTTAAAGAAAAGGTGCTCATCTGACTGTGAAAAAGATCTTTGTCATATCAAGGGCTCAAGTAGAAACAAATGCTTTGAAAAAACAAATGACAACATATGTACAGATGTGTTTAACACACTGGATATCTATATGGATCATGATAAGAACTGTAAGAGCCCCCAATAAAATAAATAAATGATTAAAAGTGGCAAGAGGGGCTTTGCGTTTGTGATTTTTGATGACCACGACTCTGTAGAGAAGACTGTCATTTGGAAATACCATACTGTGAATGGCTACAACTGTGAATTAAGGGAAGTCCTACTGAAGCAAGAGATGGCTAGTACCTTTCCAGCCAGAGAGGTTGAAGTGGTTCTGGACCTTTTAGTGGTGGCTGAGGAGGTGGTTTTGGTGGGAATGACATTGGTCATGGAGGAAATGTCCGTAGATGTGGGCTTTGGTGGCAGTTGTGGCAGTGATAGATATGATGGCACTAGGATGGTTGCAATGGATTTGGGAGGTGGCAGAAGCTACGATGGTTTTGGCAATTACAACCAATCTCACAATTTTGGAATGAAGGGAGAGAACTTTTGAGGCAGAAGCTCTGGCCCGTATTGTGGTGGAGGTCAACACTTTGCCAAACTATGAACCAAGGTGGCTATAGTGATTCAAGCAGTAGCAGTAGCTATGGCAGGGGCAGATTTTAACGGCTATGAGGAAACAAAACTTAGCAGGAAAGGAGAGTCGGAGAAGTGACAGGGACGCTATCGGTTACAATAGATTTGTGAACTCAGCCAGGCACAGTGGTGGCAGGGTCTAGCTGCTACAGAGAAGACATGTTTTAGACAATATTCATGTGTATGATCACAAGAACTTCAGGGCTGCATTCGTGACTAATTGTATAACAGGTTATTTTAGTTTCTGTTCTGTGGACAGTGTAAAACATTCCAATAAAGGGTTTTAATGTCGTTTTTTTCTTTTTCTTGCACTCATGCTATGGATAGCTAAATAGTCTGATCATGGTGCTGAATAAAAGTCCTTTTTTTTTTAAAGTGCTGTATAAAGTTAGTTTACTCTGAAGCCATCTTGATAAACGATCCCAATAGCGTGAAGTGTAGAACTCCTTCAGGGTGATGCCAAATGGATTTGAAATATATGTGTATATGACCTTAGAAGACTTCTTGAGGGCAGGGGAGCCACTGTTTCCAGAAACCTTTGTACTTGTACTGGTTGTAGCTGTACTACTACAGATCCTGCGGTGTAACCTGGAGTTCACCATTAAGATGGTCACCCACGCTGGTCAACAGAGTTTATTTGGTTATAAAAAATGGTTGTTGGCACATCATATGTGATATATCTAAATTGAATAATGCTAACAGATAAAAATTATAGAGGGAGCTGGAACTTTGGAACTTATGTACCATCCATTATCATAAACAATTTAATCTTGAGTGAGATGGCAAAAACAAACAAACAAACAAGCCAAAATCCTCACAACTGGACCCATAGGTAACATCATGATAAACTGAGAAAAGATTGGAAGTTGTCAAGGATTTTCTCTTCCTTGGGTCCACAATCACTGCTCATGGAAGCAGCAGTCAAGAGATGAAGGGGTGCATTCCATTGGGTAAGTCTGCCACATAATATCTCTCTAAAGAGTTGTCTCTATTTCTGCAAAGCTATCAGCATTGATGTTCAATGTCTAGATCCAAAGTTCATTATGGGGTCTGCAATGGTAGCAGCCTATCATTCCTTCTCCAATTATGTGCTGATTATTTTTACTTCAACTACACTATTTATTGGGATCTTTTTTTTAAAAAAGACAACATATATGCTTCTTTTTCTTAAAATTTACATTTCCAAAAGAAGGCAATTTCCTAGTATCTTCCAACCATGAACAATTTGTTTCTTATCATTAGGAATTTATAGAATTCTAATAATTTATATATTTTTTAAGATATATTTTTAAGATACTGCAAATATTATCTCTAGCGATACTAAAATGGTCTCATCTTCAGCCAGCTGGAAACTTTTCAAATTGACTCATCTTCCCTGACATTCTATCTAAATTATAGCACCCACTCAACATTATTCTCCAGATGCTTACTCCATGCATTTTTCTTCATAGAAAAGTAGTACTTCATAATAATTAGTAATCCATTTATTTATTTGTTTACTGTATGAGCTCACTATTATGAGGTAAATGCCATGAGAAAAGGGTAATGAAGAAACAGATGCAAAAAATAATTGAAATTTAAAAGAAAAGCTAGAAAGAAACTAGATTCAAGATACAGGTAAAATGGTTATCGTTATGGAAGAAAGTTTTCCCATATCTAACGGGAGGGAACATGAGGGAGGAGAAACAATAACTTTGGTAAGTGATGTAGGGTCGAAAGGTTTTTGGTTGTTCAAGCTGAAAATATCTAAGTTTCCTTCCCAGGTTCCCAGCCAAGTCTTCACCAACAACATCTAAAGACTGAGTCTCCAGCCCCCCAGCAGAACTGTGCCACGCCAGGATGGCTCACCTCCCCAGATTAGCACTTACTCACCTATGCGCCACCTTAGTTTCTTTTCCTTCCCAGCCATCCAGGGCTCTTTACCTTGCTCCAATAAAGTAACCACATGTGGTTTAGAAAGGGAACATCCTGCTGGAGGTAGGGGGTAGGGGGTGGAGGAAGAACAGTATAAAGAAAAGTAACTTATTTGTTCAAACCTTCAGAACAAAGAACAGTGAGGGGATTAAGAAGCATCCATACTTTGGAATCACAGGGGGTAACCAGAACAGAGAGGTAGGGGCATATCCTTCTTTTAATTTGAACGTATTCAGGCTCTGTCTCCTAAGAAGGGTAGAGCACACTAATTTCAAATCCTGACTATGTCACTGGAGTCATTATGGTAAATAGTTTCATCTCTATGTGCCTTGGTGTTTTGAGTTGTCAAAAGGGAAGAATAATAATAATGTCTACTACATACAATTGTTCTGAGGTTTGCATAAAGTGCTTAGCTGAGTGCCACCTTCATAGTGTAAGTTTGTTTACAATGAACACTTTTCGCTGTTTGTTTTTTCTTAAAGGTATGTGTTAGGGTTAAAGCCTTCTAGCATACTTCTTCAATCTATATTACAAACAACTGATCCAAGACACTAGACTATATAAAGAAGAATGCAGCCTCAGGATTGGAGAGCGATTAACTACTTGTGATATGCAGATAATACAGCCTTGCTTGCTGAAAGTGAAGAAGGCTGGAGGCACTTATTGATGATGATCAATATGGATTACACTTCAACATAAAACAAAACGACTCACAACGGGCACAATAAGCAACACCGTGATAAATGGAGAACATACTGAAGTTGCCAAGGATTTCACCTTACTTGAATTCACAAACACCACCATGGAGGCAGCAGCTAAGAAATTAAGTGCTGTATTGTATCGGGCAACAAATCTGCTGCAAAAGTCCTATCTTCCTCCCAAGGAGTGGGTAGTTTCAAACAGTTGACCGTGTGGATTGCAGCCCAACTTGTAACCACTATGCCACCAGGGCTCTTCGTGAAGATAGATGCTTATTAGGACTACTTATTCCCAAACCATAAAACAAATATTCAGCTAGTTTCCAGAACAGTAACCCTGAAATTAAATTTTACTAATTACTAAATTATTAAAGAAACATAAGCTTACCCAGTGACACCAAGTTGTTGTAGTTCTCTAATATCACATCTCGGTATAAATTTCTCTGATGCAAATCCAAGTATTCCCATTCTTCCTGAGAAAAGTCAATAGCGACATCTCTGAACGTTACCAAACCCTGAAATCACAAACCCACAATATGATTTGAAAAATCAAAGAAAACATTTAAAATGGAAGAATTCATTAAAGAATGGAGAAGGTATCAACTGAATTGTCTATGCTAGGGCTAGAAGCCAGTAATGCATGTTACTCAAAGTCACACTCAATGCCACCGAGTCGGTCCCCACACTCCGGGACCATGGGACGGAGAACGGCCAAGGCTGTAAATATTTATGAGAGCGTAAGCCTCATCTTTCTCTCTCGAAGCACCTGGTGAATTCAAACTGCCGACCTTGCAGTTAGTAGCCCAATTTATAGGTCACACTAGGTCACCATATGAAAATTAAGAAACGAGTGTTGAATGAGGCAGAATGTAGACATGTGTTTGTATTTCTACTGACACAGACCAGAGCTTGGCAGAGTTATTCTATAAATGTGTTAAATATTTGAGCCTTTGCAAACCATATAGCATTTCTGTTGTATAGTCTCCGTTTTGGAAAATAACTCTTTGACAATGTAAAAATAATTCCTAGCCTGCAGGCTATACAAAATAAAAGCTGAGAGATAAATAGGGCTCACAGACCCCGACTACATACAAAAAGTTCTTACATACTGTGGGATACTTAGGGCTGGGTGGTGTATGGTTATACACTGGGGTGCTAACCACAAGATTTCTAGCGAGGCTTTCTACTCCCATAACGAGTTGCAGTCTTGGAAACCCACCGAGACAGATCTACCCTGACTTACAGGGTCACTATGAATTGGAATTAACCTGAATCGGCAGTGAGTTTGTTTGTTTTTGGTTGGGATAGCTAATTTTATGTACTTGTAGTCGTGTTCAGGTAATTACTAGAATTTCTCAGTTAACCAACAGAGAGTTCATCTGAGCAACGCTCACAATGGGCTTGACTTTGAGAAAAAGTCTCAAAAAAACCTGTGATTTGTTTTATCTCCTGTAAGGATTAGGAGAAAAAAATCCAAAGAGTTATTTTTTCACAAATGAGCTATAAAATGGCTACCTTCAGTACTAAAACCCAACAAACAGACAAACACTACCACCAAACGCACTGCCACGGGGTGTACAGGATAGGGTAGACTAGCCCTTTTGGGTTTCCAAGGATGTAAATCTTTATGGGAGTAGAAAGCCTCCTCTTTCTCCCATGGAATACCTGGTGAGTTTGAACTGCTGACCTTGTGGTTAGTAGCTCAACTCTTCACCCACTCCTCCACCCTGGCTTTTTATGTTAAGCACAGTTTTCATTTACATAAAATTGAAGAATTTCCTACAGGACTTAGTTAGTTCATCCTTATGTTGTAGATATCTACTGGTTTCTAATTTTAAATCATGTAGATGTCTTGCCACTTTTTCTATTGTTTAAATGAAGTTACTAGAAAAATTTTAATGATGTACATAGCTCCATTATATTGATTTAGGTCAGTGACACTCTAAGATGTCCTACAATTCTCCAAGGCGCAGCTCAAATGCCTCCCTCTTCAGACGTCACTTCTGCTCCAGCTCTGCACTAGGTAGAATAACCAGAGAAGATGCAGAAAGATTTGGTCAGAGCACACATCAACACGGACTGGCGAAACGAGAGGCGCCCCAGAGGGGTCTGGCTGCTTGGCTCCATCCTTCACTAGAATGGAAGCGATTGGGAAGTCGCTTTTGGATGAGGCTCTGCCAGGACACTTCAGAACAAGGAGTGAAAATGTTCACATAGTTTGAGAAATATGATGTACTTTCAAATAAAGAGAAATACCAACTTACGTGAGCCATGATATTAGAATTATAAGCACTGGTCAATGTTCCTCAAAGTTCATTTGCTGGAAAAGCAGAGCATCCACAGGAGTCAGAACTAGAGAAATAATATGAAGCCATGAGAAAAGATCTGTTTCAGAACTCCTTAAATGACTTCAGAACCCCACTCTACTTCTCCATACTATATGCACCCCTCCCCTTCTAAACACAAGTTATGAGAGGTAAGAGGTAGATCAGGAATGTCTTCTTCCAGGATACAGGGACATCAGCTGCACAAGGATAAACACAGCAGCCTCTCTGCATCAAAGTGCAGCTTTGAGACACTAAAGCAAGAATTTCCAGATTTGTACTTGAGAACGGGTATGTTAGTCAGGTTCTCTAGAGACACAAGAAAGACCACCAAGCTATTTTCAAAAAACTCAGTTATTGACAAGCCGATGGAACACAATTCTATTCTGCCATACATGGGGTCACTATGAATCAAGAATCAATCCTATTGCAACTACGGGATATGTTATAACAGGCAGTAAAGTCTGGTTCTCAAACCAGCATGCATCTTAAGTGTACCGAAAGCTTGTTAAAAGCACAGGTTGCTAGGTTCCATTTCTAGGGTTCAGGATTAAGTAGGTTTGGAAGTGTTGATGTCAGGTGAATTGGATCTAACTCATAGTGACCTTATACAAAACAGAACAAAATACTGCCTGGTCTTATACCACCCACACAATCATTGTTATGTTTGGGCTGTTGTTGCAACCATTATGTCAGTTTATCAACTTAATGGCCTTCCTCTTACGTGATGTCATGAAAAGATGGCCACTACATATTGTTGGGGGAAGAAGACAAGTAAGAAAATAATCCTAGAGTGTGATAGTATATGGCAGGAAAATTACACAGACATGCACGCATGTAAATGCATATGCATAAAAGAATCCATGAAAGGAGCTGGAATAAATTTTTACTATGTTAATTCTACTTAATGATATTCCAGATTGTCATGGCTAATTTTTTTCTTTTTTTTTTAAACCTTTTATTAGGGGCTTATACAACTGTTATCGCAGTCCATACACACATCAATTGTGTAAAGCGCATTTGTACATCATTCTCAAAACATTTTCTCTCCACTTAAACCCCCGACATTAGGACCTCATTTTCCCCCTCCCTCCCCGCTCCCCGCTCCCTCATGAGCCCTTGATAGTTTATAAATTGGTATTTTGTCATATCTTGCCCTGTCCGACATCTCCCTTCAACCACTTTTCGGTTGTCTGTCCCCCAGGGTGGAGGCCACATATAGTTCCTTGTAATCCGTTCCCTCTTTCCTACCCACTCTCCCTTTACCCTTCCTGTTTCGCCACTCACACCACTGGTCCTGTAGGGCTCATCCGCCCTGGATTCCCTGTATTTTCAGTCCCTCTCTGTACCAGAATACATCCTCTGGTCTAGCCAGACTTGCAAGGTTGAATTCGAGTCATGGTAGTGGGAGCGGGGAGGAAACATTTAGGAACTAGAGGAAAGTTGTATTTTTCATTGTTGTTACATCTCACCCTGACTGGCTCGTCTCCTCCCCGAGACCCCTCTGCAAGGGGATCTCCAGTGGCCTACTAATGGGCTTTGGATCTCCACTCCGCACTCCCCCCATCATTCACTATGGTAAGATTTTTTGTTCTGATGATGCCTTACACCTGATCCCTTCGACACCTCGTGTCATGGCTAATTTTATGTATCAAATTGAGTAGACTATGGTCCCTAGCTCTTTGCCCAAACACTAATCTAGATTTTGCTATTACAGTATTTTGTAGGTGTGATTAATATTTAGTTAGGTAATATTAACAGAGATTTTCTTTGCTAATGTGAGTGGATCTCACCCAGTCAGTTGAAAATCTTAAAACAAAAACCAGGTTTTTAAAAGCAGGAATTCTATTTCAAGACTGTATCTCAAAAATCCCGCCTGAGTTTCCAACCACAGGGGTACCTTAAAAGTTTCAGACTCAAGACTGCAACTCTTTTCTGAGTTCCCAGCCTGCTCTACACATTTTAAACTTGCCAGTTACTACTAACGAGTGAGCTGATTCCTAATGATCTCTCTCCCTTCTCCCCTCCCAACATGTGTGTATATGTGTGTGCCCATTTGGCACATGTATATGGGTATTCTGTCAGGTCTATTTTTTTTTGAGAACCCTAACAAATATAAAGGTGATCTTTATTTTGATCTTATCTGGAATCCCCATCCTTGCAACTCTGTTTCCCATCTACAAAGACTGTCATCTCGTTCAGCCTGACTCTGGGGAGGAGAGAGGTGCTGAAGCTGAGTTCAAGCAATCACATGATTCAATCTGATATGCCTTTGTAATGAAACCCCAACAAAAATGTTGGACACTAAAACTGAGGTGAGCTTCATAGATGATGAAAGACATCAATCCATGGGATAGTACTGAATTTGGGGAACATAGAATCTCTGGGTCTGAGACTCTCCCATTCCATTTTGCGCTATATGTTTCTTTTTTCTGCTCATCCTTTTAAAATAAAACTGTAATAATAAGTACCGCACTTTTACGAGTTCTGTGAATTACTCTAGAAAACTATTAAATTTGAGGGACTAGGGGGAAACCCTGATTTTATAGCCATCAGGTTGGAAGTAAGAGGGTAATGAGGATCCACCAAATTGTGACTGATGTTTGAAGTCCTCACAGTCTGGGGGCTGTGCCCTTAATGAACTACCTCCGAGGGGTCAGGGTCAGAAAAAGAAGAGTGTTTTCACCTGGCGTCGGAGGAAACATTGAGAGCTGATGGCAGAAGTCACAACGGGCAGTGTACAGGTATGCTACACTAGTCACTAAATGCTAAAAGTTAGAAAATACAAATTTAAAAAACAGAATAGAAATATTACAGAGATAATGAAAGAGAAAATCACTTGACAAAGCAATATACACTATGATTAGACCTGTAAGATCATTAAAATAAAAGACAAGAGATGGGAAATCTCTCGTTGAAGAGAAAAATAAACCCCTCTACAGTAATGTAAAATTATTTTTTAAAAGTATGTCACCAAAAGAGTAAAAAGAAAATGCAGAGATTGGGAAAAAGATATTGGTAATGTCACATTAGACAAGGACCTCATCTCCAAAATCTATAGAAAATGTCAACAACTCAACAAGAACAAGACGACTAACCCAATTAAAAAATGGACAGAGGATGTGAACAGACCGTTTAGCAAAGAGATCATTCAGATAGCCAACAAACATATGAGGAAATGCTGGAGAACATCAGCCATTCAAGAGATGAAAAGCAAAATAATGATGAAATACTATCTCACTCACTCTGGCATTGATGGTAAAATTCAAAAACGCTGAAAACAACAACTGCTAAGGAGGGTGTAGAGAGACTGGACCCCTCGTACACTGCTGGTGGGACTGTAAGTCAGTACAACCACAGTGGAATGCAGTATGACACTTCCTCAAAAACTTGGGAATGGAAATCCCATATGACCCAGTCATAGTGCTACTTGGTCCGTACCCTACAGAAATAAAGAACATGGTGTGAAAAGATAGGCATGCACCCATGTTTACTGCAGCACTATTCACAATAGCAAGCACATGGAAATAACCTAAAGGCCCATCAGTGGAAGAATGGATAAACGTTGGTACATACACACAATGGAGTATTTTACATCCAAAGGGTAATGATCAAAGTGTGAAACATTTCATGGCATTGATGGGCTTAGAGGTCATTATGCTGAGTGAAATTAATAAAAAAAAAAAAAAACCCCAAAAGGACAAATATGGTGAGACCACTACTATACAAAAGAAAAATCAAGAAACGTTTTTCATACAGAAAGAGACTTTGATAATTAGCAGGGGTGGGAAAGGGTGGAAAAGGGAAGCAATTGGCTAGCAGGTAACTAAGTGTAACTTGAGGGAAGGGGAAGATAATATACTACAAGAGGGAAATGAGGTAGGGAAGGAGGAGGCAGGGGAACAAAGTAAGCCATTGGGTGGTTTGATAAATTGTTTGAATTGTTGAAGGCACAAGTAATGATCTTATATGTAAATCTCAGCCTAATTCAAAATTTAAAAGCCCTTAATTCTAAAAGGGTAATTTTCTGTCACAATTATGAAAGTTAGGTTTATTGTGCTAAGTAGGCCAATAGGAACATGTGGGCAGAGTTTAATCAGGTCGCAGCTTGATTGGAGGACAACCAAAATAAATAAAGGCAGCTGGCTTCCCATCTCCCTCTTGTGCTCTGGTGATCAGACCGGTGTGCTGCTACTTTAGCTATTTCTCTTCCTCAACCTCTGTGCTACACTACCTGTGGGCCAAGCCAACACATGAATCCTGTTGCAAGAGCTTGAGGTTCCTTTGAGACCTACACTACCTGTGGGCCAAGCCAACACATGAATCCTGTTGCAAGAGCTTGAGGTTCCTTTGAGACCTGCTTCACCACTGCTGGTTCATACATTGCTTGAGCTTGAGGCTGGTGGATCTTGTCACCGTGTTTGAGTTCCAGATCCATCAGGGCCTGCTTAGGGCCTACTTCCATAAGCTACTGAGCTACTGACTGTTGTTGACCCACCCACCCTGCTGTCTTCCGGCAGACTCAGCCTCCCTTGCCTGAGGGAAGACTCCTGTCTGCTTCCCTGACCTTGGAACTGGCAGCCCACGTGAGTTGAAGGACTTCGAGTATATTAACTGTTCCATGAAAGTGAGTTGAACTGAGCCCTCTGTACTACAGTGTGCACTAATTAGCTGTTATATTCCTTTTTGCTGTATAAACCTATCCATACATAGAAAATCCTAAGTGTCCCGGTTTTGTTTCTCTAGAAAACCCTGCCTAATACAACAACTAAAATGAGCTCTGGTGTCACTGTGGGTTAGAAGTTGGGCCGTTAACCACTAAGTCAGTGAATCAAACCACCCACTGCTCTGAGAGAAAGGCTGACATTCAGTCTCAGGCACCCTACACAGAGTCACTATGATTGGGATGGACTTTTGAACTTTCAAACTTCCCATTAGTGTTCATTCTTTTTTCTTCAGAAATAAAACCATAGGCAAAAGCACACATTCTCATATAAATATTTGAGGAAATAGACTTTAAAATACTAACAGTGATTATTTCTGGAGGTTGGTGCCATGGAAAAATTTTAGTTTCCTTCTTTAACTGTTTATTATACTAAATATTTCAATTCATCGTCAGAAAAAGCTATTCCATTAAAAAAAATTTAATAACTTTGGAGTATGGAAGAGAGCCTCAGTAGTGCAGTTGGGTAAGTTATTGATTCAAATCAACCATCTGTTCCTGGGAGAAAGATGAGGCTATCTTGCTCTCCTTAATATTTGCAGCCTTGTCATGAACTCGATGGCAATGCATTTGGTGGTTTATTTTGGATATATGGAGTATCTTACAGTCATCACGAAAATTGTGATTAAATAGGCTTGCATAGGTGGTCACAACAGGAAATCAGTGTAACTAAAAAAAAAAATCTCCTACTCCAAAAAAAGTCACTGCTGGCTGCTAACCACAAAGTCAGCAGTTCAAAACCAACCACAGCTCTATGGAAGAAAGATGAGGCTTTCTCCTCTGTGAAGATTTACAGTCTTGAAAAACCCAGAGTCGTTCTACTCTGTCCGATAGGGCTGCTGGGAGTCTTTTTCCTGCTAGTTCTCGAATGTTGTTTTCTCCACAACACCCCGAGAGTCTCTGTTAAGGGACAAAATCCTGGCTCATGGCATTTCCATGATTAAGAGACAATGGGAAGGAGCTGATACCAAGGGTTCAAATATAAAGTAAATGTTTAGAAAATGATGATGGCAACATATGTACAAATATGCTTGATACAATTGACACATGGAATGTTTTAAGAGCTGTAAGAGCCCCCAATAAAATGATTTTTTTTTAAAGAGAGACAATGGGGGCTATCAGCTCCCATGAAGATTTATATACTCTGAAACCCAGTGGATTTTTGGTTTGGGAGGCAAAGCAGACATAAGGGGGTAAAAAACTTATTTCAGAACAGCTGATCAATAACCCAGATCAATAAGCTGATCCACCCTTTCCAGGCACCAATGAATAAGTATTCAATATGTGCAAAATATCTTAAACAGTCTTATCTAAGCAATCACATATAACTTTAACTTCTTGGAGACTATAATCCACACAAATGAGTACTTCTCAATCTTACATTGATACTGTTTTCTTCTGACAAGCTCTTTACACACATGGTTTTCAATGACCTCCACAATATTCCATCAGGTGAGATCCAGTCTCCGAAACTCCCAGGACCGTTCTGCCCTGTTCTATGGGGTCGCTATGAGGCCTCCTCCAGAAGACCAAAGACCTTATGTTAAGAATTTTTGTTCTGGCCCCCTCAAGCTGCTGCTTTCTGACAGACATCGTAATTAACTGCACATTCATACAGCTCTTAGGAATGGAGAACGCAGATGGGAAATAATGAAGAATCATCATTTAATCATGCAATAAAAAAGACTGCAACAGCCAGTCTTAATTAAGCACTCACAATGGACCACCACACTCTTCTAAGCGTTTTACGGGGATTAACTCAGGTAACCTTCAAAACAATCCTATAAAGTAGATACTGTTATCATTTGTATTTTTAATCATACTCCCTGACATCTTTCTAACAAGGAAAGGCTGGTGGGTTTGAACTGCTGACCTTGTACTTAGAAACCCAGCACACAACCCAGTAGGCCACCAAGGTTTCTTACCGACTAGACAAACAAGAGCAAAGAGCAACACGCTCCCCACGCCACCCCACCAAAACAAAACAAAAAACAGACTCATGGCCATGGAGTTGATGCCAACCCAACAGGGTAGAACTGCCCCTGCGGGTTTCAGTGACTGTAACTTTTTTTTTTTAGGGGGGGGGGGGGAGTAAATAATGTATTTTATTTTTGTTTTTGTTAAGAACATAGAGTTGATCATATACTAATTCAACAATTTCTACACTTCAATAATTTCGTGACTTTGATTGTGCACCTATTCTCAGCCTTTCTTTTCAGAGTTGTTTCCTCCCCAGTAACATAAACACACTCTCCTCTAAATTTACTATCTAATCTTACAAGCTGCGATTCTCCATTTGATCCCATACCCACGGATCTTAAAGGAACACAGTGCTCAAAGCAGACATTCTCACTCACTCGCTGCCATCAAGTCATGCCACGCAGAGCCCTGGCGGTGCCGTGGGTGACTGACAGTAACTCTTCTGGGGACTAGAAAGCTCTTTCTCCCGAGGAGGGACTGCTGTTTTCAAACTGCTGACCTTGAAGATTGAAGCGGCATGCATAACCACTAGGCCATCAGGGGTTCTACTGCACAGACGGAAAGACTAAGATGGGAAGAGGCACCCAGTCATCCATGTCTGAGTCTGCTGCTCTAAGTGCCCTGCCACCTGGTCATCAGTCTTCCCTAGGACTGTCCATCGCACCCTTCCCCCGAAACCCGTCCCCACTCCAGGTCCTGGGGTTCAACTGGGGCCCTTCAGTCTGGGCTTTCCCTCCGACTTTCCTTTTGGGCCCTTTCTCTGCTTCCGGGCTCGGGTGGCAGAGGAGAGGACGAGGGTGGCGAGCTCTCGGGGTCGCTCATTCCCCCAAGGCCGGCAGTGGAGCACACACCGAGCCGCACCCCCCATTACACCCTCACGTGCTCAGGCCTCCCCCATTACACCCTCATGCGCTCGCCCTCCCCTATTACAGCCTCACTTGCTCAGCGCTCCTCCATGACACCCTCACGCGCTCGCCCTTCCCCATTGCAGCCTCATGCGCTCGGCCCTCCCCCACGACAGCCTCCCGCGCTTGGCCCTCCCCCATGACAGCCTCCCGCGCTTGGCCCTCCCCCATGACAGCCTCCCGCGCTCGGCCCTCCCCCATGACAGCCTCCCGCGCTTCCCCTCCCCCATTGCAGCCTCCCGCGCTCAGCCCTTCCCCATTGCAGCCTCACGCGCTCGGCCCTCCCCCGTGACAGCCTCCCGCGCTCGGCCCTCCCCTCCGCAGTCTGGGGGCCGCTCCCCGGGACGAACTCCACGCGGCCCCGGGGCCCGCACCCTGCCCCGTCCCTCGCCAGGTCCCCAGATCCAGCCCCAGCTGCGACGATCCCGGCTCACCGCACTCGGGCCGCTCTCGGAGGAGCGCGGGGTCCCCAGGACGGTGACCCGGAGGCTGCCCAGGACCGCCCGGCCGGGCTCCAGTGCGCAGGCGCGAGTCCCGCGCGCGCGCTCCCAGGGGCGCCGGGCGGCGGGTGGGATTGGATGTGGGCGGAGCTTGCGCGGCCCGGGCGTGATGGGAATTACCGAGGACCGTGCCCTGTGAGGGAGCCCTGGTGGCCCCATTGTTCAGCCCCTGCTGGCCGACAGAAAGGGCAGCGGTTCGAACACACCAGCGTGTCCACGGGAGAGGTCTGTGACGGCCCATTTCCCTAGGATTACAGCCTCGGAAACCCTAGAGGCCAGGGCCCCTTGTCCTGTCGAATCGCCACGTTCAGAGTCTGAATGGAAATGGGTTTGGGGTTGGGTCGTTAGTGCCCTGTAGGGAATGGAGGCCCAAACTCTAAAAGACTAAAGCCCCCTCTCCTGCCCCCCCCACCCTTTTTAATTAAAAAAAAGTTTTTGCAGTTAATTCATCCAGGGCACTGGGAATTGCTTGGCATGTGGGTAGTCTAAGGGACCCTCGCCAGTGGAGGTGGCAGTGGTTGTTGCTCTTGTTAGGAGTACCAAACCAAACCAGGCAAACAGTTGTCAAGAGATCCCACCTCGTAGAGCCTATAACAAGGTTTGCAAGACTGTCCATCTTTGCAGGAACAGACAGCCCAATCTCTCTTCGGATACTTAAGTGTCTTTAGTATATCCACGCTTTTCTTTTTGCCTATTTCTCTTTGGGAAATAGGTAAATCATTAAGAGTTCATCCATTTTATACTGCAATGTTCCTTATCTGTACTGTCTCAGGTCCTCCTTAACAGCAGTGAAGATATCCAAAGTTTTATTGCATTGGGCAAATCTGCTGCATTGCACCTCTACGTCACAGGGTAAAGACTAAGATGCACCCAACCCAATCCATGCTGTTTTCAGTAGTCCCACGGGTATGTGAAAATTGGAAAACAAATAAAGAAGACCCCAGAATTGATGCCTTTGAACTATGGTGTTGGATGAAGACTATTGAAAGCACTCTTCTCCCGGAAAGGTGTGGACAAGACATGAAAGTCAAAGTTACGTTAAGAAATTTATTAAAGACTAGAGACCTTCAGGAGAGGCTTCCAGGGGGATGCCATAGTCAGCTAGGTCTCCTTGAATTTACAAAGTAAACGGCTTTTATAGGCAGTTATCTTATTCAAGGATTAGTATGTGTTTCTTGGTGCAATGTTTCTGGTTTGGGCAATGTATTCGGTCATGGTTTTAATGAACTTGTTCTTAGCCCCCTTGTTCAGTAGCAGCATGCAGTGTTAAGTCACGGTGGATCTAAAAATGCAAGATGAAGTCGTAGCAAGGGAGCCTGGGAATCTTAGCATAACTAGTTGGGCGAGCACACAACTTTTTATTCTTAGTTCAAATCCAGGGTTAGGACTGGAACCACCATTGTGTCACTTGGGGGTGACAAAGGTCCTTGCTGTGTATGTCTCTTAAACCAGTTGAACCTGTTTTGTTTGTTTGTTTGTTTTTTAGGCGGGGGAAATTTGTGAACTGAAACTGAGGTATAGACTGTATCGGTTTTTTTACTTAATTTTACAATGCCACATTGTCCGTTATGTTCCCCTGAATACATTGTTTCTACAACCTGTGGTTTTTCCATATGGTGTTTCCTGGGCTGATTTAATTTTTACAGCCATTGTTTCCTCTGTGTACTGTTTACTATCCCTAAAAATTCCTGCCAGAGAAACCATGTATTAAAACTCATTTTGGGAAAAGAGGTGAAGGTCATCAAGCTTCTGAACTGTTTCTGGTTGAGAAGAGACAGTCTGGATGCGCCCATTTTGCTATCAGTGTCTCTTAGCTAATTCTAGGTCCTTGGAAGAAAATTAATTGGAAAAATAGACTGGAATCTATTCAAATCTAGTCAATGTAGTGCTGCAACCATTGTTGGGTGATCTCCAGCAAAATACTACTTGCATGTGATACGATGATACTGTTCTATAACTAGAGCATTGTGTTGGGCCACCTTTCTTTGGAATGGGTACAAATAGGGATCTTCCAGTTACTTGGCCAAGTCGCTGTCTTCCAAATAGATAGAGAAGGGAAAAGAAATGACCACAATGAGGGTGTCTAGCACTGCCTCCCCATTGTTATTGATGCTGAGTGACAGCTGATTAAACGATATTTGCTTAAGAACTCCTACATTTTTAAAGCCCTTCCTCATTAAATAAAAGTTCCAGCTCAGCTGTGTGGTGGGCAATAATGAACTCATGTTTAGTTTACCCCACTCAGGAACATTGAAAGCGGAAAAAAAAAGAAATTCTTGCCTCAAGTAAGAATATTATCTAGTAAACTTTGGGAGTGTTAGTGGGAGATTTTCCTAGGGGTGACATGATTATAAGAGTATAACAGAGGTACTGTATCCAGGGAGCACAAGACATGTCTGAGATGAGAGAGAGCTCAAGCATTGGGTGCCTATGGAACTTGTGGCAGAGGGGCACCCAGATCTGTTACAAGAGCCGGTTGTATAGCTACATAAAAGATCTTTCCCGAGGGGGTATATATGGTGTTAGTACCTCTCCGTGGCTTTAGGGAGAAACACACATTAAAGTTGGTAAGCCACTAATTTTTGAAATACAGTTTCTTTAAATAAAAATTACTAATAACTGGTCAATTACTGGTTTGATTCCTCTTATTGCTTATGGTTTGAGGGACACTGTTTGTGTTAGACAGGGTTCTCTAGAGAGACAAAACCAGATTGCTAATAATTATATATATATATTTATAAAGATAGATATATAACACAAGAAATAAACAGTTAAATTATAAAGCAGTTATACAGATAGATATATAATACAAGAAATAAACAGTTACATTATAAAACAGTACAAATGGCTCAGTACAATTCAAACATGTTAGAGAGTTGTGGGCCTTCAAGTCTTGAGGGCCGCCAGGTAGTCAGTCCTCTGTAGAGAGATTCAGATTCTCTGGGCACTGGCAGCCAACCAGCAAGGCAGGTCACCAACAGCCAACCAGGTTACCAACAGTCAGTCCCCAGCTCAAGAGATGTAAATTCCAATGTGTGGCGAGGCGGGTCTTAAAGGGACCTCA